TGCTTTTCCATATGTTCATAGCCGAACCTTATCCCAGAGCTTTGTGTAAGGTTCTCGCCCATAGCTTTAAAGATGTCCTGCCCGCATTCGAAATAGGTGGATACTGCGACTTTTGATCATTTGCCTCCAGTTGTAAGTGCGGCAAGTCGTGAGTGCAATTTCTCTGAGACTGGTCCAGAGTTTCCAGGTTATTCGAGTCGTGTGTTCCAGTCTTCTCAGGGCAAAGTTCTGTCACCACGACGTATCGGTCCTGGCCTGGATGAAACAGAGACGGCGTACAAGGCTTGGTAGATCCCCCTGGTATAGCTCTAGCTTTGAACAACGCTCTGGTCTGGAAGGCCCGTCCTTAAGTATTTCTAACCTGGAGCCGGTTGTGCCCAAGCATCCCGGAACCCGCCCGCCCTGCCTTCGCTCCCCTGTTGCGCTACAGGAGTGTAGGTCCAGAGTTCTCAGGTTTCTGGAGTCGTGTGTTCCAGCTTTCTCGTAGGGCTACCCGCGTCCCGTCTAGCTCTTGACCGGAAGGGGCCCGCTCCCGACCCGCCGACCAAAAAGTTCCAGCTTTCTCAGGGCAGAGGTCGATCACCACGACATCATCGCTGCTGGCCTGGATGAACCCCCCCCCCCAAAAAAAAAACGACGGCGTGCAAAGCTAATCGGAGACATGGGGAGCCCCCCGAAGGCTTGCGGGAACATTGTAGGGTTTTCTCTCTCTCTCTCTCTCTGTCTCTCTCTCTCTCTCGAGGAGCCTCCAGGAAACTTCCACTTCCCGCTCCCCCCCCCCTCTTGCGACCTACAGCAGCCCCCCTGGTTGTTTTTTTGTCATAACCCGAAGAGGCTTCTCGGGCCCCCCCCGGTTTCCGTGCGCTTCCCAGGAGCCCCAACATGCTTCCAGGGAGCTTCCCGGTGCCTCCGAGGGGCCAGCGAGGCATGGCGGTCGGAGGGCTCCCACCTCGGCGAGAGCATTTTTGTGCGCTTGTCTGCATTTTGATATTGTAATGGCCTCTGGCCAGTGCCGCCGATCCAGGGCGCTCCCGATGCGTGTGGGAATGGACGATGACGACGACGACGGCCGACGACCAGATCAACGACGGACGATGATGACGACGACGTCCCTCCTCCCCCCGCTGCCCCCCCCCCGCTTGAGCTCGACCCCCCCTCCGTCCCCGCTCGAGCTTCCTCCTTGGACCCCCCCCTAGCCTGCACGTTCTCACCCCCAAGGGGATGGGGGGAACCCTTTTTTGTTTGCCTTCCGGAGGGCCCTGTCGCCACAGCTGGCAAGGCTCACGAAAAAAGGTATAAGAACGGCGAATGCGGCAAGACCGGAGGACTGATTTTGAGCAGCGTCCGGGCGGAGGATGCTCGTTTTGGCGCGCGCGCGTGGACAAGGAGGGGGTCCACAGCCATGGGTCAAGGACATTTGCTCATGATCTATCATTCATACAGACTTTATTAGGGGAGCGATGCCAACACTTGTTCCGCGCAAGGGGACGATGGCGCAGAGAACGTTGGCTCTCCAGATGATGTTACTCGGCCTCCTCACGCGTGGCGAGGCTGTTAGCATGGAGGCGACGGTGAAGCTGGGCAGGAAGACCATCAAGGAGGGCCAGCAAGTCTACCGAGCGCACTTCGGCCTCCGAGGCCGCCGCGGCGAGAGGGCCAAGACAAAGGTGATCCACAAGACTGCCTACTTCGGAAGCGTCGAGATCGGCACCCCAAAGCAGACGTTCCAAGTCGTGTTCGACTCTGGCAGCGGGAACCTGCTGGTGCCTGCGAGCGACTGCAACAGCGAGGCATGTATGGCCCACGCCCGCTATAACCAGACTGAATCTTCCTCGATGCACCGTGTTCATTGCGACGGCGTCCAAGACAGCGGTGATGCGCAGGACGAGGTGAGCATATTGTTTGGCACCGGGGAGGTTTGGGGCAGGTGCATCCATGACCAGATTTGCCTTGGCCCCGTCTGCTACCCTGGCTCCTTCATCGCCGCCACGTACGAAACCAAGTCACCCTTCATGTCCTTCAACTTCGACGGGGTGCTCGGATTGGCCCTGCCCTCGATGTCGCAGGGCTCCATGTTCAACACGATGGAGAGGCTCGAAGAAGAAAGAACTGTGTAAACATTAACTTTCGGAGCTCCGCGCGGATCTCTTGGATCGGCGCTGGACCCCCTTTCTGGCGCTCGGAGCGCGCCAGGAGCAGTGCTGGAGGCGCCGCTATTGGGGTCCAGCGCCGATCCGAGAAATCTGCGCCGAGCTCCGAAAGTTTATGTTTGGGCTGTCCTGTGTTCCTCTAGAGGCTCAAGGAGACCCAGAGGCTCCACCAGACCCTGTACTCTGTCTTCCTCTCCAGCTCGGAGTCGGAGGTGGAGATCTCGGAGATCACCTTCGGCAGCATCAAGACGAGCCACATGGCGTCGGAATTGCACTGGGTGCCAGTCTCCCGCGACACGGGCTATTGGGAGGTCAGGATTGCGGACATCACCATCGACGATCATCCACAGGAGCCGAAGAATAGTTTTCCTGGCGAAAGTCCCAACCATCTGCAGTTGTGAGCACCGCGTTGTGGGCACCGCTTCCGGTGGAGCTCCCTGTGGGGCCACGAAGCGTGTGAGGACCGTACCGAAATGGGCGGGGAACCGCATGTGGACTGAGGCACTGGGGCCTTCGGCGGAGCCCCCTTATGGGGCCACGAAAAGTGCGAGGAATGTGCCGAAATTGGTGGGGGGCCGCATGTGGACCCTGCCCATGGGGCCTGCAGTGGAGCTCCTTGTGGGGCCACGAAACGTGTGAGGGATGTGCCGAAGTGGGCGGGGAACCGCATGTGGACCTTGCCACTGGGGCCTTCGTGGAGCTCCTTGTGGGGCCACGAAACGTGTGAGGGGTGTGCTGAAATGGGCGGGGAGCTGCATGTGGACCCTGCGACTGGGGCCTTCAGTGGAGCTCCCTATGGGGCCAAAGAACGCGTGAGGGGTGTGCCGAAATTGACGGGGAACCGCATGTGGACCCTGCCGTTGGGGCCTTCGGTGGAGCTCCCTATGGGGCCACGAAACGTGTGAGAGATGTGCCGAAGTGGGCGGGGAACCGCAGATGGAACCTGCGACCTGGGCTTTCAGTGGAGCTCCCTATGGGGCCAAAGAACGCGTGAGGGGTGTCCCGAAATTGACGGGGAACTGCATATGGACCCTGCCGTTGGGGCCTTCGGTGGAGCTCCCTATGGGACCACGAAACGTGTGAGGGGTGTGCTGAAATGGGCGGGGAGCTGCATGTGGACCCTGCGACTGGGGCCTTCAGTGGAGCTCCCTATGGGGCCAAAGAACGCGTGAGGGGTGTGCCGAAATTGACGGGGAACCGCATGTGACCCTGCCGTTGGGGCCTTCGGTGGAGCTCCCTATGGGGCCACGAAACGTGTGAGAGATGTGCCGAAGTGGGCGGGGAACCGCAGATGGAACCTGCGACCTGGGCTTTCAGTGGAGCTCCCTATGGGGCCAAAGAACGCGTGAGGGGTGTCCCGAAATTGACGGGGAACTGCATATGGACCCTGCCGTTGGGGCCTTCGGTGGAGCTCCCTATGGGGCCACGAAACGTGTGAGAGATGTGCCGAAGTGGGCGGGGAACCGCAGATGGAACCTGCGACCTGGGCTTTCAGTGGAGCTCCCTATGGGGCCAAAGAACGCGTGAGGGGTGTCCGAAATTGACGGGGAACTGCATGTGGACCCTGCCGTTGGGGCCTTCGGTGGAGCTCCCTATGGGACCACGAAACGTGTGAGGGGTGTGCTGAAATGGGCGGGAGCTGCATGTGGACTTCAGTGGAGCCCCTATGGGGCCAAAGAACGCGTGAGGGGTGTGCCGAAATTGACGGGGAACCGCATGTGGGCCCTGCCGTTGGGGCCTTCGGTGGAGCTCCCTATGGGGCCACGAAACGTGTGAGAGATGTGCCGAAGTGGGCGGGGAACCGCAGATGGAACCTGCGACCTGGGCTTTCAGTGGAGCTCCCTATGGGGCCAAAGAACGCGTGAGGGGTGTCCCGAAATTGACGGGGAACTGCATATGGACCCTGCCGTTGGGGCCTTCGGTGGAGCTCCCTATGGGACCACGAAACGTGTGAGGGGTGTGCTGAAATGGGCGGGGAGCTGCATGTGGACCCTGCGACTGGGGCTTTCAGTGGAGCTCCCTATGGGGCCAAAGAACGCGTGAGGGGTGTGCCGAAATTGACGGGGAACTGCGTGTGGACCCTGACGTTGGGGCCTTCGGTGGAGCTCCCTATGGGACCACGAAACGTGTGAGGGGTGTGCTGAAATGGGCGGGGAGCTGCATGTGGAACCGGCGACTGGGGATTTCAGTGGAGCTCCCTATGGGGCCAAAGAACGTGTGAGGGGTGTGCCGAAAGAAACTGCGTGTGGACCCTGCCGTTGGGGCCTTCGGTGGAGCTCCCTTTGAGACCACGAAGCGTCTGAGGGGTGTGCCGAGGTGGGCAGGGAACCGCATTCAGAACTTTACCACGGGGCCTTCGGTGGAGCTCCCTTGGGGCCACGGCACGTGGGAGGGGTGTGCCGGAATGGGCGGGAGACCGCATGCGATTTCTGCCACTGGGGCCGTCGGTGGAGCTCCCTATGGGACCACGAAACGTGTGTGTGTGTGGTGTAGTGTAGTGTAGTGTGGTGTGGTGTGGTGTGGTGTGGTGTGGTGTGGTGTGGTGTGGTGTGGTGTGGTGTGGTGTGGTGTGGTGTGGTGTGGTGTGGTGTGGTGTGGTGTGGTGTGGTGTGGTGTGGTGTGGTGTGGTGTGGTGTGGTGTGGTGTGGTGTGGTGTGTGTGTGTGTGTGTGTGTGGTGTGGTGTGGTGTGGTGTGGTGTGGTGTGGTGTGGTGTGGTGTGGTGTGGTGTGGTGTGGTGTGGTGTGGTGTGGTGTGGTGTGGTGTGGTGTGGTGTGGTGTGGTGTGGTGTGGTGTGGTGTGGTGTGGTGTGGTGTGGTGCGTGCGTGCGTGCGTGCGTGCGTGCGTGCGTGCGTGCGTGCGTGCGTGCGTGCGTGTGTGGGTGTGTGGGTGTGTGGGTGTGTGGGTGTGTGGGTGTGTGGGTGGGTGTGTGGGTGGGTGTGTGGGTGTGTGGGTGTGTGTGGGTGTGTGTGTGTTTGTGTGTGTGAATGTGTGTGTGCGTGTGTGTGTGTGTGTGTGTGTGTCTGTGTGTGTCTGTGTGTGTCTGTGTGTGTGTGCCGAAGTGGGCGGGAAACCGCACGCAGACTAGGTCACTGGGGCCTTCGGCGGAGCTCCCCATGGGGCCACGAAGCGAGGGTGGTTCACCCGATCGCGGTTCCCCCGCTCCGGTTCACCCGACCCTCGGTCCGAGTGCATCGCAGTTTGTTGAGTTAAGTTGGGTGAGCTCAGCACAAGGTGAGCGAAGCCGGGCGAGTTGAGTACGGGGTGAGGTAGATTGGGTGAGTTCGGCACCGGGTGGATAAGGCTGGGTGAGTTCAATGCACAGGATGAGTTAAGCATTGGGTGAGTCAGGCACCAGATGAGTTGAGCACCGTGTGAGTTAGGCACCGTGTGGGTTGCGCAGCGGGTGAGGTAGGCATTGGGTGACGTAGGCGCTGGGTGAGGGTGAGTTAGGCACCCGGTGAGTTGGGCACCGGGTGAATAAGGCGCCGGGTGAATTAGGCACTGGGTGAGTTAGTCATTGGGTGAGTTTGGCACCGGGTGAGTTCGGCACCGGGTGAGTTAGGCGCTGGGTGAGTTAGGCGCTGGGAGAGTTAGGCACCGGGTGAGCTAGGCACCAGGTGAGCTAGGCACGGGGTGAGTTAGGCACTGGGCAGCCGGCATTTCTGACCGCATCTCCTGCCTGTGCCACTACGGCCATTTCTCTTTGACCGTGGGTTACCCCGTTCTGCAAAACAGCTGCATTTTGTAGCGCGTCCTCTGTCTGTGTCCGTCCGAGCGTTTTCACAGATTCCCTCCACGATGCCTCTAAGAGGCTCCCAGGGCTCCTAACAGGCCCCCCAGCGAGCCCCAAGAGGGTTCCAGGGGGGCCCCAGGACTTCCCACAAGAGCTCCTAGAGGATTCCAACATCCTTCTATAGAGTCCCAAGAGGGCTCTAAGAGGCGATGTTGAGGGCTCTGTCCTCGTCCTCGTTGCCCTCCTTCTCCTCCTTCTCCTCCTTCTCCCCCTCCTCCTCGTCCTCGTCCTGATCGTTGCCCTCATCGTCGAAGGAGCGGCAGCGGATGCCTCTCTAATTGAAGAGGGGTGGGTGCTCGCACAACACACACACCCCTTGAAAAGGGCGGGGGGGTGATCCCCCCCTCCCTGCCCTTTGCGCCGGAGAGGGATCGAAGGGGGGGGGGATCCCCGTGTGTTGGGCCAGAGGGTGGTGGTGGGCGGCAGCAAAGCAGATCATGTGCATAGGGTCGTGAAGGTGGAAGGATGGAGAGGGCGATGTTGAGATCCGCAGATGTGCATCGCATCGTGTTTTCTTGGCGAAGGAGGATCGTGCTCGGCACGGGTACTCCAGCGTGGAAGGCTCTTAGATCGGGCGTGTGCAGAAAAAAAAAAACATGTCATTCAGCATCGGAACGTGGAGGCTGAAGGGCCTTTCCGAAGGCGAGGCTGAGATCCGCAGATGTGCGATCGGGGCGCGCGTGTCAGGAGGGGAGAAAAAAACACACAGACACAATTCATCGTCGATCCCCAGGAAGATATGCGAACATATGGGAATTGGGGGAAGCCCAGAAAATATGAGAAAGTATGGGGAATCTTTTTATTGGTGTGTATTTATTTGTGTGTTCTGGGGCCCCTTTCGTGTGGGGAAAAGCATAATGTGCTGGATCGAATCGTGAGGGCCGCCGAAGGGCTGAGAAAGGCGAGGTTCAGATCAGCAGAGGCGCGCCGCACGGCACCATCCCCCAACCCATCCTGCGTCGGGCTCTCGTTTGGAGTACAGTCGGGGCCCCGAAGGAGGAACCCTTTTCGTTGGGGAGGGGCTCCGCGTTCCTTCAAGTGTTTCACAGCTTGTCTCGGGTTTTCCTTATGTTTTCGATAGGAAATCGAAGTTTAACTTATGGAAAAAAGAGGCCAAATCGAACTTTAACTTATGGAAAAAAGGGGCCTCGTTCCTTATGTAGGGTTCCTTAGGTCAACGCCCCGACTGCATTCCCCAACCCTCCTGCGTTGGGCTCTCGTTGTGAGCAGAGCGCTGCGGTCGCGACCTCCCCCTCCCGCCTCCCTCCTCCCGTCCCCGCCCACCTGCCTGCTGCCCTGACTTCCGCGTCGCCGTCCTGCCGTGGGTCTCGCTGGGAGGCTGCGAGCTGCGAAACCGTCGCCGCTTTGGGGGGCTGCTGGGGGAGGTCCAGCGGAGTAACGCCTTAGGCAGATGCACATTCGACCTCGCCATCCCTGGGGAGCTGCGATCTGCAAGTCTGTCGCCACTGTCGAGGGCTGCTGGGGGTCCAGCGGGGTGAATCCTCACGCAGGTGTGTATTAGACTTTGGTCCGTGGGGGGGCTCCGAACTGCGAAA